GTGACTAATGAGTTAGTTACAGGATGATGCATTATAGAATGAGTAAAGAGACTTGCCGGTAACGAGATTGAACTAGGTATGAGGATACCGACGATCGAATCTCGGGCAAGTAACATACCAATGACAAAGGGAATGACGTATGTTGTCCTTGCGGTTTGACCGATAAAGATCTTCATAGAATAGGTAGGAACCAATATGAGCATCCAGGTTCCGTTGTTGGTTATTGATCGGAGATATGTCTCGGTCATTTCTACATATTTCTAGAACCCGTAGGGTCCGCACGCTTAACGCTCGATGACGATTTGTATTATGAGTTATCTATTTTGGTGACTGAAGGTTGTTCGGAGTCCCAGATGAGATCACGAACATGACAAGGAGTCTCGAAATAGTTGAGAGGTAAAGATTGATATATTGGACGGTACTATATGGACACCGGAATGGTTTCGGGATGTTTCGGATATTTATGAACCCCTCGGGGAAAGTAATGGGCCTACATGGGCCATAGGGGAGAGGGGAGGAACCCCACAAGGGGTGGCCGCGCCCCCCTCCTATAGGGAGTCCGAATTGGACTTGGGGAGGGGGTGCGCTCCCCTTTCCTTATCCTCTTCCCTCTCCCTTCCCTCTTTCCCCCTCCATGAGAAGGAAAAAAGGGGGAGAATCCTACTAGGACTGGAGTCCTAGTAGGACTCCCCTCTCCTTGGCGCGCCCCTTGTGGACGGCCTCCTCCTTCCTCCTTTATATACAGGGGTAGGGGCACCCCAAAGAACAACATTTATTCTCTTAGCCGTGTGTGGTGCCTCCCTCCACAGTTTACTCCTCCGGTCATAGCGTCTTAGTGCTTAGGCGAAGCCCTGCGTGGATCACATCACCATCACCATCACCATGATGTCGTGCTAACGAAACTCTCCCTCGACCCTCTGCGGGATCAAGAGTTCGAGGGACGTCATCGAGCTGAACGTGTACTGAACTTGGAGGTGCCGTACGTTCGGTACCAGATCGGTTGGATCGCGAAGACATTTGACTACATCAACCGCGTTAACTTAATGCTTCCGCTTTTGGTCTGCGAGGGTACGTGGACACACTCTCCTCCTTTCGTTGCTATGCATCTCCTAGGTAGATTTTGCGTGATCATAGGAATTTTTTTGAAATTGCATGATATGTTCCCCAACAATATAATACTATATCATTAACGAATGTTAAGCGTGCGGACCCTACGGGTTTGAGAATGATGTAGACATGACCAAGACGCCTCTCCGGTCAATAACCAATAGTGGAACCTGGATTCCCATGTTGGTTCCTACATATTCTATGAAGATCTTTATCGGTCAAACCTTATGACAACATATTTAATTCCCATTGTCTGTCTGTATGTTACTTGCCCGAGATTCGATCGTCGGTATCTTCATACCTAGTTCAATCTCTTTACCGGTAAGTCTCTTTACTCGTTCCGTAATACATCATCTCGTAACTAACTCCTTAGTCACATTGCTTGCAAGCTTCTTGTGATGTGTATTACCGAGAGGGCCCAGAGATACCTCTCCGATACACGGAGTGACAAATCCTAATCTCGATCTATGCCAACTCAACAGACACCTTCGGAGATATCAGTAGAGCATCTTTATGATCACCCAGTTACATTGTGACGTTTGATAGCACACAAGGTATTCCTCCGGTATCCGGTAGTTGCATGATCTCATAGTCGAAGGAATATGTATTTGACATTCAGAAAGCAATAACAATAAATTGAACGATCATATGCTAAGCTAACGGATGGGTCTTTTCCATCACATCTTTCTCCTAATGATGTGATCTCGTTATCAAGTGACAACACATGTCTATGGTTAGAAAACCTTAACCATCTTTGATCAACGAGCTAGTCTAGTAGAGGCTCACTAGGGCCACGGTATTTTGTTTATGTATCCACACATGTATTTAAGTTTCCAATCAATACAATTCTAGCATGAATAATAAACCTTTATCATGAGTAAGGAAATATAGTAATAACAACTTTATTATTGTCTCTAGGGCATATTTTCATCACGACGTCCTCGAAGGAGGCCGGCTCCGGAGTCGAGCCTTCGGAGCCGGGCGGGTCTTTGATCCAGTCGGACGTCTAGCCTGACAGAACAAGTTCACCACGGGAATCCGTGGTGTACTTGAGGCCGTCGAAGGTCACGATTTGATCTCGGGTGTAGTTTTCGACAAAGGCCAGATGGCCCGTTGAGCCGGTGCAGAAGATCATGTTGCTGAACACAAAAAGCTGGACGGAGCGTAAACGCTCCCACGACCATTGCTGCAGTTGATCTACGAATGAGCCATTGATCCTTCTGTTGATCCCACAACGAAACTCTCAATGAAAGCACCAATGTCGGTGTGAAAACCGACAGATATCGGGATAGGGGCTCTCGAGCTGTGGATCTCGGACATATGGTAACAGAAACAAGGAGACGATGTTTTACCCAAGTTCGGACCCTCTTGATGGAGGTAAAATCCTATTTCCTGCTCTTGTTTATATTGATATAGATGTATCGAGTATAGAGTTGATCTACCTTGAGATCGTAAAATGTAGTCTAGCTCTAGGGCTAGGTGAATGATATTGCGTTGATCTCCCCTCTAAGGACTAAACCCTATGACTTATATACACGCTAGGTAGGGTATCTAGGGTTACAAGGTCGATATCTAGGCGCTACTGCTAAGTGGGGCCCGCCATGTGGCCAGGTTCAAAATTAGCAGTAGCGCCCTGCACAAAAAATCACGCTACTACTATTACAGCAGCAATAGCACGGTTAATGTGGGCGTGCTACTGCTAAACCTAGTGTGGTGAGAACGGTCGGGCAATTTTAGTAGTAGCGTGGTTCTACCGAGCCGCACTACTGCTAAGTCGGTAGCAGTAGAGCCTGTTTATGGACCACGCTACTGCTAATTAGCAGTAGCGCCCCTTCTTGTCCAGCGCTACTGCTAAGATTCTGTGTATAAGGTTTTCCCTAGTAGTGATGGCAGGAGAAGTCTTGGAGTATACGACAAGTCTTCGGTAGATGTAGTCTTGACCACGCCCCCCTTGCGTACAGCCTTCAGAATCCTTCTTGAGAATGAATGAGGGCCCATCGGCCCAATCCAAGGAACATGGGCCGACTGGATTAGTACCCTTTAATCCAGGACACCATTAAACACTGACCTTCAAACCACCCACATCCGCCCAAACCAGTCTGTCATGACGTGTTTTGGCATCCAGCGCGATACCCCATCCGTCCGTGGACCAGTCCAGACGTCCGTTTTCTCACAAACCGGGAGCATTACATCAAACACGGCATAATTCATCAAAGTTCAGACATAATTTACATAAAACAAACGATATTTCATTTATTTAACTAAACCAAGCCCGTAACACTCAAAGTAATTATAGAAAATAGCACAATTCATCCATAAGTAGCATGCAAATATCTCTAGTACAACAATAGTTCAAATTCAACGATATAACCAGATGTTCAACAAGTTGTTCGAATTCACCAATTCCAAATTCATTGATACTATAATCAGAGCCGGTACATGTCGTCCCACACAAGTTGATCCTTAAGCTTCATCCAGCAATGTATGTGTGTGCATGGCCTGCCCACGGTCCTCCAGTACTTCACGACAGAGCGTCCAACCTATGCAATGTGTAGAGAAACATTGAGTGAATGAATGAATTAACCAACATGTAGAGCAAGAAGAAGCAAACTTACGATCTCCATGGTTGACACACCCAATGGCAACATCGTCTCCACACGTTCAACTGCGTCGCAGAACTTCATGACGGAGTTGCAAATGGTGTACCATCGGTGTGATATTGACCTCACATTCTGTTCATGGATGATGTGTATGTCTTAGAGTGCTTTTGCGCATGAAACAAATCATGCACGCGTTGCCAAAAGATCGCGCATGAAACAATCATGAACCGCGATGTAGTCCAAGTAGGGCAAGCGCGTTAGTGGCGGCTGCGGATGTCCTACGGTGCCTTGACGGCGGCCGGAGAGATACAATGACGGCGTCGAAAGAGAAGAATGCGGATGCAAAGCAAGGGTAGAGTGAAAGAAAAGTGGACCGGAATGGGTATTTGAGTCAGCCGGGGATGTCAATATACTATATGGCGGCGACGATCCGTACTCCCGTAAAGTTTATCACTGTTCGCGGATTGATCTCCACCGCTCCAGGGACGAATAGGCTGTCTGATTTGGGATCAACTTTGGAAATGCCCGAGATGACGAGTACAACCATGTCATGTTCCCGTGGACAACGACTTGATTCCGGTGAAATTCCCGCAAAATCACTGCGCAATTTCAGGCATAACAAGAAGAGTTAATAAGGGAAAGAAAAGGGAGGGAAATTTCCAGCTGCCATGTGTGCACGGTACCTGGCTGGCCTGAAACAGACAGGCAGGCAGGCAGACATCCACGCCTGCCTCCGATCCACCCAAAAGTACACTCCAGTTCCAATATTCCGCGTCCTGGACTGACTTGCGCTCCGAGCTCTTCTTTCTCCTCTGCCTTCTCGGCCTCTCCCAGCTCATCCCGTTCCCAGCACACTGCCCGCGCCCTGCCTCCTCTTCTCTCGATTCCCTCCTTTAGCCATCTTTACAGGCACAAAATCATCCCAGCCTTTTCCTGCCACTCTTCTCCTTCTCCACATTCCGTGAGCGCGTTTTCCCCACTTGAAATTCCGGCTCTCGAGACACAAGATCCGCGAGGGGTGGTGGATTCTTTACTTGCTCGTTCCAAAAATCCCACTCTGCCCCGCTGCTCCACTTACCTTGTAAGGAGTAGCGGAGACACTTTACCCGATTCGTTTCTTCAGGCGGCATGGAACGGCGTGTGCTTCCATCGTGCCCAAGATTTCAGCAGCTTTAGGTGGTGGCATATAGAAGTTGGAATCTTTGCCTTCCTTTTATCGTCTCCCGTTCTGCTCTGCTCTTACTGTCTTTTACTACCCTCTTGCAGAGCTGCCTGGACTCCATTGGGGGCGGAATGGAGGTCTGGAGCATCAGAGCGGCGCAGCTCTTGCTCTTCTTCTTCCTCTTGTCTGAGAGGCATGGGTCTTGTGCCGCCCTCGGTGAAGAAGGTGAGATGGATTTCCCATGGGTTTGTGATTAGGAAGTGGCCATGGTTGTGTTGGTTCAAGTGGAACAGTCGTTGACCATCTGTGTGTCTATCTTGGTGCTTCAGGGCGAGCCATGGGTTTCAGAGAAGAGCACCCAAGTGGATGGTTATGGAATTTGGAAGAAAAGAAGGTTTTCAGCGCAGCGGCGACGCCGTAAGTCAGCCTGATCTGTTCTTGTTCTTGTAGGATCAAATTCATGGTGAAATGATTGCTACCTTTTCTTTTCCTGTGAAGATGTCAAATCATTTGCAAGTAGTTATCTTGTACTCCCTCCGTTCGAATTTAGATGACTTGCATTTGTCCACATTGGGATGCATCTATACTTGTATAGTGTCTAGGTACATCCGTTTCTAGACAAATGAAAGACATCTAATTTGGAACGGGGGGAGTATGTATCGCTTAGTCATGATTAAAGTTACTCAACGAACAAGTCCTATTTTGATTTCAAGGGGTACATGATATTGCCCGCCGTTGTCTTTTTCTATTTGTAGCGTCATGGATTTACAAGTCAAAGGGGTCTAGAAGAAGCCATGACCATTAAGTAGAGAATATGCAGGACAGCTAGATGTCTTTCTAGAGGAAGCTATGATTTTGTCTCTGGAATATTTAGGATACGTGTGTGAAACAAGGCTTTCACTCTTAAGCATTTCTTGATGCGTCCCTCTTTTTTTTGACAATATCCAAAAAATTTACCTTCATGGATCAAGTCCTTCAGGTCTAGGGAAAACAATATTTCTAGGAGTAAATTGCATCTGGAGCATTACAGAATTAAATTTCTGCAGTGCTTGATACATAATCTCTACTTTTTTACATTATGGGCTTGATATACATAATCTAAAGCCATGTGATGATCTTTGCAGCTTAGTCAAGGGAAAAAAACTGTCAATTGAAATTCCTAACGAGTTGCAAGAGCGTATCATGATTTCAGAGGTTCTAACTGATGGAAGGCAAGAATCGTGCAGAAAATGTTTAACAAAGTCAGTCTTCTTCTTTATATACCAGCTTCCCTTTCGTAAGAATTTCTGAGTAAGATGGGCCTAACTTCTAAAGTAAAACTGACATGACACAGGCAGTTGAAAACCAAAATACTCTGTTTCAGTTTAACCGGCAATCTTGACTTTGACTAGTTAAACTTTGCAATCTTTTCCCCACAAAATAAAATAAATAGAACCCACACTTTTTGAATCTTTCGGTAAACATCCGTTCTTTATCGAAAAATTTATTGTGGCCCCTTGAAAATACATGCTCATTTTCACTAAAAATAGGTTAAAGGCAAATGCCAAACATAAGTACACATGACAGCTGTTGTACAAGGGATGTGTAGCCTGTCTCTTACATTAGTAAAGCTTAAGCATTGATATGTTAAAGCTTGAAGCGTGGAGAATACTGATATGCTAACTGTGGACTATACAAGTTTAACAATCAGACTCTTCAATTTATATTGGTGTTTTATATGCAGAACCATAGAGAGTAACACCCTGAGGCAACTCCTACAGGCAAGGGAGCTTCAAGAATCAGCACCTTCCTCTAAGGCTCCTGATCAGTTTCATGAAAGCCAGGCTCCCATGTCTTTGCCACCATCGTATTCGCAAGCTGAAACCAACGAGTCTTCTTCTGTGCCTCACTGGGCTATCTACGCAGTGTGCATCAGTGGAGTGCTTGGCCTTGTGGTTATAGCCTCTGTTGTGTATCTACTTGTCTCCCGTAGAAAGAAGGATAACACCGTCAATCCATGGGCTACCGGGCTGAGTGGACAGCTAAGGAAAGCCTTTGTGACAGGTCAGTCTCCTATTACCTGAAGCTAAAATGCCATATTACATCATCTGAAATGTGTGCCACAGATTGAACTTGGAGATGTTGAGTGTGCTTTACCTTGTGGGCAGGTGTTCCTTCTTTAGGAAGGGCCGAACTTGAGGCGGCGTGTGAGAATTTCAGCAATGTGATTGGTACTGTATCTGACAGTGCATTGTACAAGGGAACCCTGTCAAGTGGAGTTGAAATAGCTGTTGCCTCCAGTCCAGTTAAGTCTGCCAAAGAATGGTCGGATCGGTCCGAGGAGCAATTTAGGAACAAGGTAAGAAGTAATAGGCGAAACTACAACAGTGCTCAGATTTTCTCAACTAGCGTAGTACTGCTCTATCCCCGTTGTCTGTGCCTGACCAACTCTTCCTCTTTCAGATCTCTGAGTTATCCAAGGTGAACCACAAGAACTTCATGAACCTACTTGGTTACTGCACATGCGACGCTCCGTTCACCAGGATGATGGTGTTTGAGTACGCTCCATGCGGTTCCCTCTTCGAGCATCTGCACGGTGAGCTGCACATCAGTATCTGAATATCTTCCATATGCTGTTCTTGCTTCTGCTACTTCTCTCTCAGAAACAGTGAGGCTCATCCGATCCATGTTTTTCGATGCAGTGAGGGAAGCAGAGCACCTGGACTGGCCTACCCGGCTGCGCATCATCATGGGAGTGACATACTGCCTGGAGCACATGAACCAGCTAGACCCTCCTGTCACCCCAAGAACCCTAAACTCCTCATCCATCTACCTCACCGAGGACTACGCGGCCAAGTTCTCCGACACCGAGTTCTGGAAGGACGACGACGCGGACGCGTCGGCGCCGACGCGATCCGCAGGCCAGGACAGCATCGTCTACAAGTTCGGGATACTGCTGCTCGAGGTGATCTCCGGCCGGCTGCCCTTCTCCGAGGACCACGGCCTGCTCGTCCTCTGGGCCTCCAGCTACCTGGACGGCAAGCGGCCGATCGGCTCGATGGCCGACCCGGTGCTCAGGGCGTCGTCGCCTGTGCCCGAAGAGGACCTGGCGGCGCTGTGTGATGTCGTGAGGCTGTGCATCAACCGCGAGGCGGCGAAGAGGCCGTCCATGGGCGAAGTCGCGGGGCTGATGAAAGGCGCCGTCAGACTGTCGCCGGAGCAGACGACCCCGAGGAATAACCCGCTGTGGTGGGCTGAGCTCGAGATCATGTCCACGGCATCCACCTGAAATGACATACAGTATAAAGGGAAGGATAATTATACTGTACGTACTTACTAGATTTTGCGTTTTAGTTTCTTCTTCGTTACTTTTTTGTATGATATGGTACACTCCTTTTGGCCCCAATTTGTTTTTGTCCTTGGATCACTGTGATCCTGCATATTTCTTAAAGTTGAAAGGAATAGTAATTATTATTGTTGACATATACGGAGTATTTGTTAAAATTGTGTTGAATATGTGTACCAGGCTACAATTATACTTATGTGATTTGGTAGATGGGAAGGTGAGCCCGTAACCATGCCTTGGGATTAGCCATGAAGATGAACTTCGTTAACAAAACATCACGTGTCCTGTCTACTTTTCTGCAATGAAAATTCAGGCTTTTCTAACCGTATTTGCATTTCTATTATTTCTCATGTATCCCTAGGAAACCATCTAATTAATACATGTAGCATACTATTCGCAATAAATAAATAAATAAATAATCTAATTAATACATGTAGCATACTATTCGCAATAAATAAATAAATAAATAAATAAATACATGTAGAATACATAGACAGTGCTCCATATTCCACCATCGTAAAAGTTGATAGCAAAAGTTTTATTAGCCCGCTCTCTGCATCATGAGATGCATATGGCTTAAGTTATTACATCGCTGAGTACAAAGTTTGCAAACAATGGTCTTGCCAAAAATGAGGGAAAGAACAAAACTATCAAACTACTCGAACGAACATGCTAAACAAAACCACTCTAAATATTGAGAAGCCTATCACTAGCACACCACTCAAACTTAATCCTATGAAAAAAAAATCCTTGGATTGCAATCCTACAAATCAAATAATGAATGTAGAGAAAACTCGTAAGGATTATAATTCTTCAAAAATCACACATAGGATAGACAGCAAGAGCCCTGCGATAGAAATATTTACAAGAACCTAACTAGTACTCCCTCCATTCACGAATATAAGGTGTTCTAAGTTTTTTATGAATTGGACGTATATAGACACGTTTTAGTGTGTTTGTTCACTTGTTTGAGTATGTATGTAGTCCATATTGAAATATTCAAAACATTTTATATTTGTGCACGGAGGGAGTAACAAATTTTTCTCTTAATTTCTTACAACCAACATAAACTGTACATGGCATGTACATGCAAAAATGAAACACCATACAAATGATGTACTGCAAACATTCTGTAGTTAAATGAAGAAAAAAAATGTCTTGAGCATATTCACGACCAGGTGGAAGGGATGACAATGTCAGTTTGCAGACAATCAAGCTGATCATCAGGTCTTTCAGTTGTAGAGAACACCTTGATTGCTTGTTGCATCGTTGGTCGGTATGATGGATTTGGTTCTATGCAACAAACAGCAAACACGATCACTTTGAATATTTCACTTGCGATCTCAGTTTCAGGGAATGGGAGCCGGATGTCCAACAAATCCTCAAGTGATGTACTTCTGTTGGCCATGGAAGAAAGAAAATCACCTGGATGATGTCCCATGAACAACTCGAGCATGAGTACTCCAAAGCTATAGACATCACACTTCTCTGTCACCCTTGTTGAGTACGCAAGCTCTGCTATGCCAATATTGACGAGTTAGCCTTTTGTGAATGTGTATGTATAGATGCAAAAAGTACTATATATGTATCGATGAAGCTAGTGTTTTTACACAAATGGAAATCACTTGGAATCTTCCCTAGACGCGCACACGGCCAATGTCCATCATTACAAATTGCTAACAAGTAGTTAGTGAAACAAATGGGCTCAATGATTGATGTCGCTAATGTGTATTGCACACATTAGATACAAAATGTGTACTGTCGAGGACTGCATGGTAAACTGTTCTACATCTAGTGACCATAAGAAAAGTAAATACTAACAGATATTTAGTTTTTCAGATAATGATCGCTTTTATTCCCCCCGGCCTCATCATTATAGATGCATAAAAACTAACCTGTTACAACGTTTTATTACAAATTCACCAAATAATGACCTCATCAAAACGTTTACGAGATGGAGAAAACATAACAACACAAAGATTTAACCGATAGATATAATTTTACCTGGGGCAAGATATCCGTTCGTCCCAGCAAGCCTTGTACAGTTTGATGCATCTCCATCTAGTATTTTTGCTAGACCAAAATCTGAAATACAGGCACTGAAATCCATATCAAGCAAAATGTTGCTGCTAGTTATATCTCTATGGACTATCGGTGCAAAGCAATCATGATGCATGTAGGACAGAGCATTTGCAACATCCTTAGTGATATTTAATCTTCTTGTCCAATCCAACTCAATTGCAGTTTCCTTGCTCTGCAAAGATTTCGCTAAGCTTCCCCTATCCATATATTCATACACAAGGAATCTCTGATGAGCAGCAGCGCAGTAGCCAAATAACTTCACAATGTTGCGATGCCAAATATGAATCAAAGCATCTATTTCACGATGGAATAGCTTGTCATCTTCCATCGTGTGAATCTTCTTTATTGCAAATATTTCACCTGTTGGTAACTGGGCTATATAGACAGATCCATTCCCTCCTCTTCCAATGCAGTGAGCATCGCTGAATCTTTTTGTGGCCTCAATAATTTTCTTGTACACATCTTCCCCATCAAAGTTCCAGATGGCGAACATCTTGACCTGTTCCAGTCCCTTTCCACTTTCAGCCTTGGATTTCTTCCTTTTACATTGCCATGTTGCTAGTGCAGTAATGAGCATAAAAGTCACAGTGGCAGGTATTATAGCTAGTAAAATAGCTCTAGGCTTCCTTCCTTTTTGATAGCTTGAAGTGTGGTCACAAGGGGGCAGATTTTTCACACCATCACCGCATAAATGTGTATTATGCACGAACCATTCGGTTGGAGCTTCTTTGAAGAGCCTGCTTTGTGGCACTGGCCCTTCAAGTTTGTTATAAGACACGTCCATGTATAAGAGGCTGTTCATGCGTTGAAATGATGGCGGAATCCTGCCGCTTAATGCATTATGTGAAAGATTCAAGGCTTCAAGCATGCTAAGATCACCCAACTGAGTTGGTATCATGCTACTAAATGAATTTTCACTCAGATCTAACAATCCTTGCAGGTTTACCAGCATCCCTAGTTCCATAGGAATGCTACCATTGAGTTGATTATGGCTCAAATTCAGAAGGCGAAGCTTTAAGCACTGCCCAACTGATCCCCCTAACTGCCCACTTAGGTTGTTCGAAGATAAATCCAAATACTCCAGATTTTTTAGAGACGCAATTTCCTGCGGTATACTTCCCCTGAGCAAGTTGTTGCCGAGGCTCAAATTGAATAATGTCATTATATTGCCAATTTCTGGAGGAATATGTCCTTCGAGTTTATTTGATGAAACATCAAGTATCCTCAACTGAGACAGTTTCCCTATGCTTGGTGGTATGACTCCAGTGATACCATTTTCTGAAGCGCGCAACATGGAAAGTCCGTGGCACTCACCCCAGCTATGAGATAGTTGACCAAATAGTTTATTTGAGCTGATATCTATGTACACAAGATTCGGATAAACCCCCATCTCAGAGATATCTCCTTGGAGCTGATTTCGTTCAAGACGAAACCGTACCAGGCTTGTGCATCTTAGCAAGCTTGTTGGCAAGGGTCCAACCAACATGTTGTTATAAGCGGTGAAATTTTGTAGCCGGCTCCCGAACAAAGACCGGATGGCAGGGAACCGGAGAGTTTGTTAGAACTCAGCGTCAACCAAACAAGATTTCTCAAGTTTCCAATTTCTTGTGGAATGGATCCAGACAATTGGTTATAGCAAAGGTATAGAGTAGTGAGCTTAGTCAAGTTCCCTAAGCTACTTGGGATGGAGCCGCTTAGTGTGTTGTTGTAAATGTTCAATTCCTCCAAGTTCACTAAATAACCTAGCTCTCCAGGGATGTTTCCAGAAAGTTGGTTATCGTGAAGGTCCAATGTGGTGAGTCTTGTCAAATTCCCCAAACTGTTTGGAATGGACCCCGTAAGTTTGTTCTGCCCTAGTCCCAAACACTCCAAGTTCACTAAATTCCTTATTTCTTTAGGGATGGGTCTGATGAGCTCGTTAGCCGAAAGATTTAGAGTTGCTAACCGTGTTAAGTTTCCTATACTAGTTGGAATATAGCCTTCAAGATGGTTTGCACTAAGGTTAAGCTGCTTAAGCCTCGCTAATTTTCCAATTTCCGGAGGAATTTGTCCCGAAAGCTGATTATCTGAAAGATGCAGGAATGTGAGTTTGTTCAGGTCACCAATACCGCCCGGGATTGAGCCTGAAAAGTTGTTTTGGCTCATGTCTAGGTGCTGGAGGCTGAATAAATTCACAATATCTTTGGAAATGGGAGCTGCTAGGTTATTCCTGGATAATGACAGCCTATTCAGATTTTCTAAAATTACTGTGGAGTTATTAACTGGACAGAATGAAACTGGACCTGAAAGCTTGTTGTCAGACAAATCCAACGTGACCAGGTGATTTAGGTGGCCTATTTCACAGGGGATGCTACCAACCAGCCGATTGCCTGACAAGTCTAGGCTCACAAGGGTACCCAGTTCTCCTATCTGTCCTGGTATTTCGCCGGAGATTTGGTTGTCATGGAGCATCAGGAGATGCAGCTTCGTGAGGTTTGCTAGAGAAGGTGGGATGGAGCCGCTTATCTGGTTGCCTTGGAGTTGCAGGGCATGGAGCTCGCCGAGGGCCGCGATGCTCGGAGGAATGGTCCCGGCGAGCCTGTTGCGCGAGAGGTCGAGGCTCGTCAGGTCCCTCAGGGCCGCGAAGTCGAGGGACTCGAGAGTGCCTGCGAGCCGCGTCCCGCGCAGGTGGATGCCGGTGATCACCGGCCGGCGCCGCGTGCCGCACCTGACGCCGCGCCAGCTGCAGAGCGTCGACGTGTTTCCCCAGGACCGCAGGGCGTGCTGGCTTTGGCCGCCGAGGGTGGCTCTCCAGGCCAGGAGCGCTCCTGCTTGCTCTCCGACTCCGAGGGACGGCGGCAGGGCGGCGATGGGCGAGACAAGCGCCATAAGTATGACTAGAGAGGCCAGTAGTGTTGTCGAAGGAGACGAGTCCATGGCCGGGTGTAGCTCCACGATTCTAGGTGGCTGACTATGGATGAGAGCTCGTTGCGGCGCCTTAAATCGTCGCGATTCTGCGGCGGATTTCTTCTTCCTCCCTGTACTGTACCTACCGCGGGCAAATCGCGCCGTGGAACGGTATGCGTTTCTGTTTCTTCTGATTCTAATGAATGAACGAGCGTCTGAAGTCTGAACATGCGCGATTAAAAAGGACGCCGAAACGGCGGCGTGGAATTGTATGAGATTTGAATTTTGGGTGCTTGATGGAGATGGTCAAAGGTATGGTCAGGTTAAACTCTGACTAGACAGGCGAGATCAAAACCGCGCGACGAAATGAATGTCATACATCACTTTTCTCTTTTAGTTTCTTTCGCAACTTTCAATAAAATGTGATCTTTATTGACTTAAAATGATGATATAAACACAATGAGCACACATCTGACTTCTGCATAGATAAAATGCACACAATCAACATAAACACACACAAATGGACATTTTTTTTCGAATACGTGAGATTGAGTATCATTCCATTGATAGGTTGGGTGGTGAGTACAAAGGTTGGCGCCCTGGACATACGCAAGATGGCGGTGCGCATGGTGAGCAGGGAGGGGTGAGGATGCTCAGCCTCGTTAGTTACACGTTTATGTTATAGGAACAATCCGGCCGAGCCCTTTTGCGCCGGCTCTGGCCCATAGTTTCGCCTCCTGCTTGATATCGTCGAGGATGGTGTGGAGGTTGGGAGACTTGTCGAAGAGGACGGCGTTGCGATGCTTCCATATGGCCCAGGAGGTGATGGCGACCAGGGAGTTGATGCCCTTGTGTAAGCATGTCGGGACGCTGGTAGCGGTCCACCACACGAAGAAGCTGGTGGTGCCGTCAGAGGGGTGGGGGTGCTGCTGCGCGGCACCAAGCCAAAGTGTCGTGTCAAGCCATGCGCGAGAAGACCGGGTACTTAAGAAGTACCATCAAATAAGAGCAACCATGTGTTATCGCCACTACTTTCCATAATCCCAACAGCTATATGCGCTGGGTTAGAAATTTCACCGCTGTAGCTGCATAACCATAGCCTCTGCGTCAAATCGCCATCCATAGATTGCATCTCATCACTGAAGGCAAATTGGTTGGAGTAAGAGCTACTAAAAACCACAAAGGAACCATCTGGCTACAAACCACAAACTCGCTAGTATGCGTCACCAACAGCAACCATTGGACATGGAGACACTAGGCCATACCGCCTCATCTGGGAGAGCGCTGATTGCGGAGGAGGGCTAGGAACCCACCTCCCTCCACGTCCCTGGGCATCCCTGCCCCACGCCATAGACGGATCTAGGGAAAACCAATCACTCTGGCCAGCCCCGCTGGATCTGTGCAGATGCAGCAACGGTGGTTGCACCAACCAATGACAGGTGTGGGATGGTTACATCCCCTTGAGGCACGACTGACGGACTTGATTCCGACAAATCTTGAGTAAGGGGTCCAAGCTAGTAGCCTACATTTAGGGTAAAAGGACACGAGGTTTTACCTAGGTCCGGGCTCTCTCAAAGAGATAATACCCTACGTTCTGGTTGGGTTTGTATTGATTTGGGATGGAGTACAATGTACAGATTGATCTACCATGAGATTGTTCCGTGTGGTCTATGTGCCTTATGAAGGAAATATGCCCTAGAGGCAATAATAAAGTTATTATTTTATATTTTCTTATATCATGATAAATGTTTATTATTCATGCTAGAATTGTATTAACCGGAAACTTGATACATGTGTGGATACATAGACAAAACACAAGTGTAAGCCTCTACTAGACTAGCTCGTTAATTAAAGATGGTTAAGTTTTCTAACCATAGACATGTGTTGTCATTTGATGAACGAGATCACGTCATTAGGAGAATGATGTGATGGACAAGACCCATCCGTTAGCTTAGCATGTTGATCGTTCAGTTTTATTGCTATTGCTTTCTTCATGTCATATACATATTCCTTTGACTATGAGATTATGCAACTCCCAGATACCGGAGGAATACCTTGTGTGCTATAAAACGTCACAACGTAACTGGGTGATTATAAAGATGCTCTACAGGTATCTCCGAAGGTGTTTGTTGGTTTGGCATAGACCGAGATTAGGATTTGTCACTCCGAGTATCGAAGAGGTATCTCTTGGCCCTCTCGGTAATGCACATCATAATAAGCCTTGCAAGCAATGTGACTAATGAGTTAGTTGCAGGATGATGCATTACAGAACGAGTAAAGAGACTTGCCGGTAACGAGATTGAACTAGGCATGTAGATACCGACGCTCGAATCTCGAGCAAGTAACATACTAATGACAAAGGGAATAATGTATGTTGTCATAACGGTTCGACCGATAAAGATCTTCATAGAATATTTAGGAATCAATATGAGCATCCAGGTTCCGCTGTTGGTTATTGACCGGAGAGGGGAAAGAGAGAAGGAAGGGAAGGGATTCGGGGCCAAATGTGACGCCTCCGATTCAATCGTACACTAATCATGCACGCAAACGTGTACGGTCAAGATCAGGGACTCACGGGAAGATATCACAACACAGTTCTAAAAATAAAATAAGTCATACAAGCATCATATTACAAGCCAGTGGCCTCGAGGGCTCGAATACAAGAGCTCGATCATAGATGAGTCAGCGAAAGCAACAATATCTGAGTACAGACATAAGTTAAACAAGTTGCCATAAGATGGCTAGCACAAACTGGGATACAGATCGAAAGAGGCGCAAGCCTCCTGCCTGGGATCTTCCTAAACTACTCCTGGTCGGCGGCGGCGGCCTACACGTAGTAGTAGGCACCTCCAGTGTAGTAGGAGTCGTCGTCGATAGTGGCGTCTGGCTCCTAGGCTCCAACATCTGGTTGCGACAACCAGGTATAGAAAGGGGGAAAAGGGGGAGCAAAGCAACTGTGAGTACTCATCCAAAGTACTCGCAAGCAAGGAACTACACTACATATGCATTGGTATCAATGAAAGGGATAGTATATGTGGACCGAACTGCAGAATGCCGGAATAAGAGGGGATAGTTAGTCCTATCGAAGACTACGCTTTGGCAGCCTCCATCTTGAAGCAGTAGAAGAGAGTAGATGGTAAGTTAACCAAGTATCATCGCATAGCATAAATCCTACCCGGCGATCCTCTCCTCGTCACCCTGTTAGAGAGCGATCACAGGGTTGTATCTGGCACTTGAAAGGGTGTGTTTTATTTAGTATCCGGTTCTAGTTGTCATAAGATTAAGGTACAACTTCGGGTCGTCCTTTTACCGAGGGACACGGCTATTCGAATATATAAACTTCCCTGTAGGGGTAACCACATAACCCAACACGCTCGATCCCCTTTGGCCGGACACACTTTCCTGGGTCATGCCCAGCCTTGGAAGATCAACACGTTGCAGCCCCACCTAGGCAGAACAGAGAGGTCAACACGTCGGTCTACATCCTAAGCGCGTAGGGGTCTGGGCCCATCGCCCTTTGCACACCTGCATGTTGCGTATGCAGCTGGTGAGCAGACCTAGCAACCTCCATTACAAAGGAAGTTGCATTACACGGTCCAA